CTGCCTCATTCCCTCCCATGCCGGACACCTGGCATTGCAGGGCTCTCGGTGGAGGAAACTGCTCCGGCCCTGCGCCTCCTGAGCTTCCGCCACCACGAAGATGAGAGTCGCAGTGTGTCAGACAAATGAGTGCGTCCACACCTGTCCTTTCCTCTCTCCTTTCCCCTCTTCTCTGTTCATCCTGCTCTTCTCCTCTCTGCCCTCTCCCTCCTCCCTCTTCTCTTTCCCTGCACCCCTGCTTTCTCCCTTGCTCTGCCTCCAGCCCGCTCTGAGATGAAAGGGCCAATCAGTCTTGCTGCCGCCACCTCTGGGGAGCTGCACTGGTCCACAGGCATAGGCATCACTACCAGGAACGCCTAAATGGTTCTTGGAAACCAAGGCTAATTGGTAAAACAGCACATTCGTTCTTCCACAGCCTGGACACTCCAGAGGGGGCCCTTCTGAGCTAAGCCAAGATTTCTACACTGATGCATCAATCACCAGGGAGACCACTGGGGTTACTTGTCATCCCCAGAGAGTGACATTCAAACCTACTGTTTCTACCTTGATGTGTGGACTTGGGTGCTGGGCATCCCTACCCCCAGTGGCACACCCCCCCTCCAGCACCACAAACAGCGGCTGCTTGTGGGCATTTGATTAAGGTGCTGCAGGCTTATGTTTATTCATGCCTACTATATTCATGCATTCAACTAAGGTTTACTGAGCACCTACTATGTGCCAGACACTGTTACAGGCACTGGGGATATAGCAATGAATGAGGCAGTCCAAATCCTGCTCTCATGGAATTGACATTGTAGTGCAGAGAGACAGACAGTAAACAGATAAATATATACTATGTCAGGGGGGTGGTAAGTGCTGTTCAGAATGAATAAAGCAGACCACACAGGGTACAGAATGAGAAGCAGAGCAGCTCTACATAAAGGGAGATCAGATACTCTGGGGGACACGTTAATACCTGCTTCCTCAATGCAAGTGACATGCTCCAGAAAAGTTAAGTATCAATGAGATAACTGCACATTAAATCACATTTCAAGTTGAACACAGTCAAGCCTTGCAGATATAACATGCAGAAGATCTTTGAACCTCAGTTTCTCAGGAGAAAAATGGGCTTAATAATTCTTGCCCTAGCTAGCTTATGGGGCTGTGGAGAGACTCATGAGATGAAATTTTAATTTTGTGGATGTGCTTTGTAACCTGCAAAGCACTTTATTACATCAAAGTAATGTTATTGTTGTTAATGAAGACATAGTTAGCAAAGTAAATTACCACCTCCAAATAGAAACTTTGTGATAATCCAATTTTCATGTATTCGGTTGGCTAAGAAGAAGATTACACTTATATATTTTTCAAATCCAGGCTGGCATCTTATTAGGCCTTCTGAGGATTGAGGAACAATTTGCGGTTGCCCCTGGCTATGACTTGCTGCCGGCAGTAAAGAGCATCCCGTCCAAGAGTGTTTATTAAAATCTTCATTTCAGAGCACCCAGTTAACCTTGAGACCCCAGCCTAGCTCACTCCAATCTATCTGAAATAAGAGCATGGGAATGAAAGAAAACCCATCAGCCTTTGTAGGTCTCAGGTGCAAGTCCTTGCATCTCCATCTAAAATTTTGGGAGGGGGTTGGGGCCTTACAGACACAGAGAGGGTTCCTCACTCAAGGGAGAAGCCACTTGCTTCATGGAGTTTCTCTTTGTATGCAACATTTGGAGGCAAAATGGAATAATCTCTACTTGGAAGGGAATTCATTTTACCCAAACACCACTACCAAAAAGCCAGATTTATGGTGCATATCTCCAGGAAAGTGTTCAGCAACAATGAGATGCTTATTTGTGTCCCTGCCCCCTTGGGACCACCCGCTGGCTGGTACGGTCATAGCTCAACTATAAGAACATATGACAAGGGCAATGGAGAGTGTGGTTTATCAATTATTTTTTGGCACTGTTTAGGGAATGAGATTACAGGCAGGGTGGGTGGTGTCAGGAGGCAAGAGCAACGGCAAATGTGCCCTCACCAGACATTTCAAAAACCTCAGGATGTAGCTTTTCCATTCTGAGAGAGCCCAGTGTCAACTCATCAATCAATACACTTTTACTCAGTGTCTACTCTGGGCAAATCATCCTATTAGGGGATATGAAAGAGAGCCCCCAAATATTTCCAGGAGCTCTCATAGACCAAGAGCTCTCATTTTAGCTGGAAAGAGAAGACAGCCCTGTGCGTAAAGATAAGAGCCCTGTCCGAGCAGGTGGGAGAAGCTAACACTGTCCCATCTCCTGCTGAGACAGAGGCACTGAAATGACATTATCCCATCTGGTCATCATCACCACAAAGTAACATCATCATTCCCATTTAATGGATGAGAACACCAAGAGCAAAGAGGTTAAATGACTTGCTCAGGGTCACACGGCTGGTGAGTGGCAGTCAAGTGCTCATTCTTAGACCACTTAAATCTAATGGGGCCAGAATCGAAGTGAAGTTCAGACTGACCTGCCTATTGATTTTGTCAGGGATGAGCACATATTTAGAAAAACAACACAACATTTGGCTGTATTTCCTTTCGCTCTATCCCTCAAGGGGGGCTGGGGAACCACTAGCTTCAGATCTGAAGCTTTCTTGTCCTTTTCTATTGATAAACTCTATTTCTAAATAAGCAATTGTCCTTGTCGGTTTGTGTTTCCACAACCAGATCTCCTCCTCTTTCCCAGCTGAATGCTCCCTTCCCCCACTAACATCTTCCCACGTTCGCTTAGCTTCTCTCTCTCTCTCTTTCCCTCTCTTCACACACACAAAGTCAGACACACACCTTCCCACCACACACCCATCTGTAAAATAAAATTAGAAATGCTGCCCGACTCTCAAGGTATCTGGGGAGATCTTCAATCAGTATAGCCCAAACCCAGCTCTCCAGGCTACCTCCCTGCCAAGCCCGCATGAGAGGCAGGCAGAGCTTGTGAAAGAGCCCAGACGGCCATGACTGTGACACAAAGCTGCTCTGAAGGGAAAAGGCCATTCGTGCTTCCCTGTGTCTGTCCTGGGGCCCCTGGAACTCACAGGGCTACCAAATGCCCAGAAGCCACCATGGGGAAAACTGCTCTTTCACTTATATGTAAGATCCTTTCAGAACATGAAAAGGTTTCCTGGCTGCTTTTTTATTTTGATGTACCCTGATAAAATACAGAGAAAACAGTGTCTGATGATTCAAAAATAGAGGCTGAGCCGATAGGCATATGGCCCTCATTTTAAGGCATTGCTCTTATTTTAATCGACCCGTTGAGAAAGCAATAAGCAATTATTTACCTTCACTCAGAAGAGTGAAGCAGGGCAGGTAGGTGACCTGTGACATCCAGGAAACTGAGGCTGGCAATGGCACCAATATTCCTGCAGTGTTTGCTGTTTCTGAGGCTCTCTCTGCTGCCTCCCTCCCCCATTTGACACACGCTGGTGTCACGACTCTCTTAGTTCCTCACGGTACCCACCTTAGAGCAGTGGCATTCCAGAAGGGAAAGGAAATAGAAACAGGGAGATGGGGGTGGGGCTCCAAGTAGAAGCTCCAGGTTCAAGCTCTGTTCTAGATAAACACCTCTGTGGTCCTCCCTTCTCCCAAACCAGAGCTGCCTCTGATACTGGGCTATGCAGTAGCCAAGAGCAGGAGCATTAGTGCTATAACTGGGTTCAAATCCAGGCTCCATCACTTACCTGCTGTGTGACCTTAGACATGTGACTTAGCTTCTCTGAGCCTCAACCTCCTCATGCCCGGAATGGGATTCATCCAGCTTCTCAGATCATGATGACAGGATTAATGAAGCTGTCTTATATTAAAGGCTTAGCACAGTGCCTGGTATGTAGTAAGGGCCCAATAAGTAGGGTCAATAATTACGAACTAAGACTCAAACAGTGGTTACCCTGGGCAGTCCCTGCTTAAGGGCTTTACATATATTGTCTTTTAATCCCCATATTTCTGTTTTACAGATGAGAAAACTGAAATCCAAGGTCTCATACTAGTGAATGGTGGATTTCCAAACCGGGCAGACAGGCCCCAGCCTGCCCCAGAGCCCTGGCTCTCGACCCCTCTGTACACAGCCCTGCCAAGGTGACGGGCACTCATCTTCCTGGGTGTTGCCTTAGCAAACTGGGTTCTCAAACCCCCAGGTTTCCTGCAGCCCCAGCCGAGCAGGGAGCAGGGAGGGAAGGACAGGGTGATGGCTGGAGCGTTCACATCAGGGCTGAATCCCATTTCCCAGCTGGAACCCACGGCTGAAGTGGGACAGGGCGCCCCAGCCTGCTCAAGGGGACCGAGAAGAGGGGCAAGTCCACGGCGCTGAGGCGGGTGGCCAGAGCACCGCCCCCAGGAGCGGAGGGAGGGGTGGCGGGGCTGGGGGGTGCCCAGCTGCCATCCCCGCCGCCTCCTGGCCCCCACTCGCTGGCGCCCAAGTGGGAGGCCAGCAGCTGCCCGCTCCCTCCTCCCTACGTCCCTCTACCTGCCCAGTCCCCGAAGCGAGGCGTGAGGAGGCTGCAAGCCAGCGGGGCCGAGCCCACAACTTTGCAGTCTCAGGGAGGGCGAGAGCCGGCGCCCCGGGCTCCTCTTGCCGGCGACCGGAGCTCGGTGAGTTCATTTCCCCACCCCTCTGCGGCGGTGCGGCGGCAGCGGTGGTGGCGGCGGCGCTGGGGGCGGCTTCCCCGGCGTCCGCGCGGCAGTGGCCGAGAAGCCGGCGGCCGCCCGCGCTGCCCGCCCGGCTGGCTGGGGCTCCGGCTGTGCCGCCCTCGGCCGCGGGCGCGGCGGGCGCCGGTGCTGAACGGACAGCTCCCTGCGCCCTGGGCCGCGGCGTTGGTCCCTGCGGTCCCTTCTCCCGCGCAGGGCCGGGCTGCGCCTGCCCGCCGAGCGCCCCTCACTCCCACAGCCCCGGTCCTTCGCCTCCTCGGCTCCGCGGCGCATCTGGAGGCTGCTCCCGCGCCCCCCTGGCGACTGGCGCGGGGAAGACACTTGCTTTGCCAGAGCCCCAGGCCGAGGGCTCTCCTGGTGGGCAGCGCCGCCGCAGCCTCCCCGGGCACCGCGCGGGGAGGTGCCGAGCCCCGGCGACCACCCCAGGCTTGCCCTGCGCTGCGCCCCAGCCTCCGAGGCAGGTCCGCGCTCCCCGCCGTGGCTGCGACTCCCCGGGGGGCACTGGCAGCTGCAAAGGGGGTTCCAAGGTGGCCAGTCGCCCCGTCCTAACGGGACAGTCTGGACGGAAGCGCGGTGGCATCCACCCGTCCTGGGTGCAGCCGCCTTCCCAGAACTTTTCTCGCTCCTCCGGCCCTCGGCTCCTTAGCCCTCGGAAAAGTTCTCTCGGGCGCTCAGAAGCTGGGCAGGAACAGGGCTGTGGTCCGTTGGGTGGGGCGCGGTTGCGGTGGCGGCTGCACCCGGCGGTGGGGTCGACTCCCTGCAAGGCTGGCCAAGCACCCACTCGCGCGCTCAGGACGGGCTTGCTGGCACCGAAGGGGTTTGGGCGCCATGGGGCTTGTTTGGGTTTCTCCCGCCAGCAGGGCGGGAGGCAGGCGCAAGGGGGTGGGGGGGATTTCAATTTTGTCGCCTCAAATGAAAACGTTCTTTGCTAAGAAATAGCCCTGGCAGCCAGCGTTGGAGAGATGGGCTGAACAGGAGCTACTGACACAGGTATTTCGGCTGCGCCCCCCCACACCTGTGCCTGAGAGCGCGCGTGAATGTATCGATTGTTTTAATTGATTTTTTAAAAAGCCAGGTGGCAGCGGCTGCGTGTGTGTACACACAGACATACACATACACAAACACAGATACCCAGGCGCACATAGATTACACGTACAGAGTCATGCACAAGGAAATACGCACAAAGACACACACACACACACACACACACAGCCTTGAGTAACCAGTGCGGTCCCTGAGTATTGCTGAAGGTGGGGCTGAAGGGATGGAGAAGGGGCGGGGGTGAAGCAGGACTTCCAGAAGGTCAAATCATGCTGTTCTCTCTGCCCCCGACCCCAAATCCTCCGCTTTCTCCTCCTAGGGAGGTTTGAACCAGAAATTCCAAACCTGGGCTCCTCTCACGGCCACAGAAGGCAGAGCCGCGTTCCCCGCTCCCCCAGCCCCTCCGGACCGCGAACAGGTCCCTTCCTCTTCGTGCTCGACCCCGCGGCACCAGGGCGCAGAGTTCGCTCAGAACCAAGGGAGCGGCCACCTCGAGGTAGGGCACGGCCCCGGGCGACCTCTGGGTCTCGGGAGCTCTAGCTTGCACAGTCCGGGGTTAGGGAAGTGGGGACAGAGGATCCGAGGGGCAGGGGTTGGGGGCCTGGATTTGCGCGCAGCCCTCGCGACGGGCGACCCGCGGGAGGAGCTCGAGGTCGCCCCCTGGACGCCGCAGTCAGTCAGTCGTCTTCTCCCCTGGGGACCGCAGGAATGTAATCGAGGATGCTGGCCCTGCGGCTGCTCAACGTGGTGGCCCCCGCCTACTTCCTGTGCATCTCCCTGGTGACCTTCGTGCTGCAGCTCTTCCTCTTCCTGCCCAGCATGCGCGAGGACCCCGCAGCCGCCCGCCTCTTCTCGCCCGCCCTGCTCCACGGGGCACTCTTCCTATTCCTCTCGGCCAACGCCCTGGGCAATTACGTCCTGGTCATCCAGAACTCCCCAGACGACGTAGGCGCCTGCCAGGGGACCTCGGCCAGAAGGCCTTCGTGCCCCCCGCCCAGCACCCACTTCTGCCGAGTGTGCGCCAGAGTCACCCTGAGGCACGACCATCACTGTTTCTTCACCGGCAACTGCATCGGCAGCAGGAACATGCGCAACTTCGTCCTGTTCTGCCTTTACACCTCCCTGGCCTGCCTCTACTCCATGGTGGCCGGCGTGGCCTACATCTCCGCGGTCCTTTCCATCTCCTTCGCCCACCCCCTGGCCTTCCTCACGCTCCTACCCACCTCCATCAGCCAGTTCTTCTCCGGTGAGTGGGCCGTGGCAGGCATGTTGGGCTCTACACAACGACCCTTACCACCCCAAAGCTGGCCAGACCCTAAACTCCAACTGCATAGGTTGCCAGATTGAGCAAGTAAAAATACAGGACTCGGCCCCTCTAAATTAAAATTTCAGGTAAACAACTCATAGGTTTTTAGTATAATTTTTTCCCAAATGTTGCATGAAACATACTTATACTAAGACAATTTGCTGTTGTCTTTCTGAAATGGAAATTGACTGCATATACTGTGTTTTATCTGGCAACCTCCTCCCCTTTCTCTCACCATCCTCATCCATCATACTGTCCATTTGCTCACAGAATTGTGGCATCCAGGCAATGCACCTGCTCATGCCAGGCAGGGCTGGGCACTGGCCATTCCTTATGCAGCTCTGTGAGGGACACCCATTCTATGACCTTCCACTGCCTGGACCCCAGTCACGCTCACATATCACCCAGGGACTTTGCCCTCCAGAGTTCTTGCCTCCCAACCTTGGTAAGGTTGAACTTGGTGCCAGGCCAGCCCCAGCAGGAGGCTAAGCCCCATTGTCCTGCCCACTGTTTGACTTTACCAAGCTGTTCTCCAACCTGCAGATGGCTCAGAGCAGGGGGACCTCGGGTGGGACATGCAGCTGAGTTTTTTGGGTTTTTTGGGTTTTTTTGAGATAGAGTCTCGCTTTGTTGCCTAGGCTAGAGTGAGTGCTGTGGCATCAGCCTAGCTCACAGCAACCTCGAACTCCTGGGCTCAAGCAATCTTGCTGCCTCAGCCTCCCAAGTAGCTGGGACTACAGGCATGCGCCACCATGCCTGGCTAATTTTTTTCTATATATATTAGTTGACCAATTAATTTGTTTCTATTTATAGTAGAGACAGGGTCTCACTCTTGCTCAGGCTGGTTTCGAACTCCTGACCTCGAGCAATCCGCCTGCCTCAGCCTCCCAGAGTGCTAGGATTACAGGCGTGAGCCACCGAGCCCGGCCTGCAGCCGAGTTTAATGGCTCCATCTCCACGCTACAGAGCCATGGGCCTGGTGTGGGATCTGACCCTTCGGGAGGCGTTTATACCCACAGAAGCCAGGCTTGTGGGCTGTCACACTGGTGCCCAGTTGGGTGCCCTGGGGAGGACTGCACTTTAAATAGTGTATGCCAGGGAGCACTCCCTGATACCTGGCCCTAGAAGGACTCTGCTGCTGGTGGCAATTCTTACCGGTTGGCTTGGCTTTGAAATTTGCCCCACCTCATTTCCTTCCACTCCCTCCCCACCCTGGCCTTTGGCCTTTGACTCTCACCAACTTGGTTCCCACCACTGTAGTGCACACATGCACGTGTGTGCATATGGCATTGTTATCTCCATTTCTCAGATGAAGAAACTGAGACTCAGAGGGGATTGAATGGCTTGTCCGAGGTCCTACACATATTGGGTAGCAGTCTCTGATCTGCCCCCAGGTCCTTAAACCAGTCTGACACCCTTCTTCTGCAGCCCAGAGACCAGAGCATGTTCCCTCCCTCACCTGTTGACCTTCTAGGAACAGAGAAAGACAGGGTGCAGCTACTTCCACTGAGAGCCCAAGACTGTCTTGAGATGCCTGAGTTGGACATTCATAAAAATTCTGCTCCACTCTGGGGGAAGCCATCATTTCAGTCTTTGTTGTGGCTGCAGCCCAGTTCTTCCCAGGCACAGAGTTATCGTGCCATTTGGCAGTGGGAACACAGAGGTCCAGGGAGGACCCAGATATGGGGGTTGCCTTGAGGGCTGGTGGCTGAGCCGGGCCCAGAACTCAGAGCTCTCGGGCCTTCTGGATCCCAGAGCTGGCATATAGGCTGCTGGGACAAAAATAACCACAACGGGGGAGGGTAGGTGGGCGGGCTGGGGGGTGGGGTGTGAGCACAGGCAGGTGGAGGGATGAGGAAAGCCAAAGAGCCTGCTTACACTTTCTTTTCCAAGTAGTTTCACCAACCATAAAAATGGATGGTTCCAGAAGGAGGATCTTGAAATGGTTTGATTCGAGATAAGTCTGGGCTTGAGGCCTGTCCATATGTGCTAGGTTTGGGGGGCAGGAAAGAAAGGAAGAAAGGCCTCTTGCTTTGATCTGATGGGAGAACAGAGCCAGTCCGTGCCTGCTGTGAGGCCCACACCCATGTCCCAGCATAAGGATGCATCCCACTGCCTTTCAGTTCCTCGCCACACCCCTAGGAAAAGGAGGCTGACATTTCTAATCTCCTGTCTCGTCTTCCTCCTTTGCTGACCTTTCACCTCTCCTCTTGCCAGTCCTTCTTCTCTCCCCACCTCGACAGGCACCCACTGATCAGCTGCCTCCTTCCCATCTCTGTCTCTGGTTCTCAATGCAAACGGTTGGGAGCGCACCCTCTCTCATCTGCTCAGGAGGACGGGGGACGGGAGGGAGGAAGAAGGCACAAGTTGTTTAATAGACATGGTGCTGTCCCCAATTCTGATACCGATCTGAGTCATGTCGGCCACCAGAGAATGGTGTGAGTGGGGGCCCTCACAGCTAAAAGTGGAAGAAGGGGTCTTCTAAAGTGGAGGTGGCCGCCCCCACAGCTGATGCCAAGGAGGGAGGGGGTTAGCTAGTCAGGTTTTAGAAGTTGTCCTTTCTTTCGGCTTGTGACACCAGCACAGGCTGTGTCACCTCTCCAAACCTTGTTCTTATCTGGGAAGTGGGGATGCCACCTTCTGACCTGTGTTGTGGCATTTGGGCAAGTGTGCCAGCAAGGTTGGTGCCACCAGAAAGCCCAGCAGGAGGGAAAAGGGGACTAGTGTTCATGGGGCACCTGTCGTGTGCCACCTGCTGTGCATCTCATTGCATCCAGTCTGGATGCTGTGACAGTCTGTGAGGTGGGTATTACTGTATCCATTTTAGAGGCTCAGGAACCAAAGGCTTAGCAAGGTTAAGTTGTTTTGATGCCACACAGCTTCTTAATTCCAACCTAAGGTCTGGATGCAGGGCTGCTAGCCCCCAAAGTTCATACTCTTTCCACTACACCACGCTGCCTCTCTGGGGATGCCTCTCTGGGGGTGCCTCTCTGAAGCTGCTCCTCCAATGAGCCCCCTTTGGGAGGGAGGGAGCTTCTTGTCCCCGGATGTGTTAAAGAAGACACTGGGTGATGGTCTGCCAAAGGCATTATAGATGCTTGGTGGGAAGCAGGGCTGGGGAGATCGGCTGATGTGACCTTTCAGGCCCTTTAGGAAAGTTCTGTGATTTTCTAAGAGAAGCAGAACTATTATTAAATGGTTGAGGAGCTGAAGCAGCCAGGCTAGGTAACTTCAAATACCTCGAGAGAAAGCAGGTCCCCAGAATAGCCTTTTGTAGCTTCCACATGGGGCCAGAAAAAGGCCACAAGGTCTTCCTCATGCCTTGATTTAGTGCCAGCAAAGCCCTGTGGGAAACAGCTTCCATCCGCCAGGGCTTGCGCCTGGGGCCGTGTTGCACGGCAGGCCCAGGCTTGACAGCTCTGATGTTCTCACATCCCAGCTCGAGGGCCATCTTTGCCCGTCAGCATCTCTCAAGCCCAAAGGGCACCATGGTCCCAGATTCCTGCATCCTGCACGTGGCTGTCCAAGCTAATCTGTGCTGACAAGGAGGAAGTGGGTCAGGGGATGCCACAGCCCACTGTGAGCCCTGTCCCGCTGCCACCCCCTGCCAGTGGAGGGGCTGCTCTAAATGGCAGCTGGAGCGAGCTTTCTACCCCCTGGACAGCTGGGGGCTAGAATTTGTCTCCAACTTTGCAAAGAAAAACCTGCTATCAAAGCTCCTAGAGATGAAGGCAAGAGGAGGCTGCTAATGAGCAAACCTGAATCAGACCCGCATCCTCTCTGGCTGCTGAGTCTACTGCTGCTCAGACTAGATGTGTTTTGCAAGCCTGGTCCTTAGGGGTCTGGAAATTAGAGGCTGAGGAGGCCTGGGAAGACGTGGGCTGGGGCAGAAGGAGGCTGGGGGAAGGGAGGAATATGAGATTCTTAACGGTAGAATAGTTTGTAAAGTGGGGTCCCTGGAGGCAATACCGCCACCTTCCTGGAGGAGGTGTCATGGGGTTGCAAAGGGCTATAGAGGGTTTTTGAGTTCTCTCCTGGGCCCACTGCCCTGGCTGCTGAGCAGGTCAAGGTAAGTGTCTTTATCAGAGCTGCCGAAGTCGCAGCCCAGCCAGGACTCCAAGCCCTGGAAAGGGGGAGAGAGCTTGGTGACTTTAGGGGTTAAACTTGAACTGCTTTTGGATGTAGTCTCCTAACCTATAAAATGAGCCTCATCCGGGAACACCGTACTGAGTAGGAACCAGAAGGCTGACCACTTTGTACATGATTCCTTGAATCATGCAACCCCATGAAATCATCCTCATTATACTCATTTTACAGATGAGCAAACTGCACCTATGAGAGGTTAAGCAACTTGCGCAAGTCCACATAGCTGGGAGAGTCAAACCTGGCATGGACCACCTGCCACTCACACTGAGAGGAAGAGTATGGGAGCTCTTACTCAGTAGAAGTTTAAAACCTGTACCAGGCAGTGCTTGGTTTAGAGGGGCTTAGGGGAGGTCCTACCCCATGGCAGGGGGCTGAACTCATGACCTTGGTGGCCTCTTCCAGCCTTAGCAAGCTTTGACTGACAGGACAGCTCTGGCTGAATGTTCTGTTGGCCACTGTCCTCTTGTTAACATTAATGACTGAATTATTCTCTAAGTCGGCGCTCCGTGCTGCCCTTGAGACTAAGCTCGTGACTTATTATTCTTGATGACTAGGGCCTGGTTCTCCATCAAGTTGTCACTTTCCTGAGTCCTTCCAGCCAGTGCTCCCACCTGGGTAGCGAGAAGCCGCCGCAGTCTAGACAGCTGCCCAGGCATCGGCTCCCTCTGCAGGGTCCTCAGCTCACCCTGCTCGCCTCCTGAGAACAACCCCTTCTCCCTGCTTCCAGCCCAGGAAGAGAAAGCAGAGAAGGGAGAGACGTCTCTGACTCTAGGGAAATGTTACCCGCAGAAGCCGAGGGTTCTCCTTGTTGGGTCATCAAAATTCCTTCCCTTCTCCCCCAGGCTCCTAGTTTTCCACCCTCGCCTCGGAGAGCCATCGGCACTAAGAAAAAGTTAGGGCAACTAGTTCATCCTTTTTTCCCTCGCTGCAGCGCTGAGATTGCTACAAAATATAGTGTCAATCTCATTAATCTCCCTCCCTCCCAGCGGAAAACGCTGCCTGGATTGCATTTCTGTACGTGGCCTGGGTGTAAAGCGGCTCTGGTGTTTCCCCTCCCCCCTCCCCGCAGGAGCTGTCCTCGGTTCTGAAATGTTCGTCATCCTCATGCTCTACCTCTGGTTTGCCATCGGCCTGGCCTGCGCGGGCTTCTGCTGCCACCAGCTGCTGTTGATCCTCCGGGGGCAGACTCGCCACCAGGTGCGGAAGGGGGTGGCAGTGAGGGCCCGGCCCTGGCGCAAGAACTTACAGGAGGTCTTCGGGAAGAGGTGGCTGCTAGGCCTGCTGGTCCCTATGTTCAATGTTGGAAGTGAGAGCTCCAAGCAGCGGGATAAGTAGCAGACACTCCCATCATTTCTCTCTCTCTCTGTCTCTGTGTCCCCGCTCCTCCTGAACCTAAGACCACAGCACCCTTGTCTCCACCCATGACTCACTTTAGCTTCGTGCTGGTCCTAGCACCCACCCCTGCCTTTTAACCTATAGAGAACAGTGTGGGCTGGTGGATCCGGACAAGGAGGAAAAAATGGCCACCAGGGGAATGCTGGGCTCCTCCCAGCCGGCCAGGTGGCTGCTAGCTGTCAGGATGCTCTGCTTTCGCTTCTTCTCCTTGGGACCCCTGCTTTCCCCCTCTGCCTGGCTCATCCGCTCCCCATCATGTCTCATGTCATCACGGCTGTCTGCTGGAGCCCTTTCTCTCAGCCCCGTGTTGGGAGTGGAGAGTGGATTCTTGCTGCTGGTATGAGACTCCCTGGGACCTGTAGGCTGGCGAATGTTTAAAATCACCACGTGTGAGAAGCAGCCGAGTCAGCTCGGCCAGCTGCCGGGGAAGTTGGGAAAGGGTGGATGTGTGGCCACAGCTACTCTGTGGGATCGTGGGCAGTGGAGGGAAAGAGGACCCAGTCACTTCTTGCCCACCCCCCAAGGTTCCAGGCCCTTTTCCTGGGAGACAGTAACCAATGGGCTGGTATTTACAGCTGCTGTTCCCTGTCCATCCTGCCCCAGCTGGCCACCCCAGACCAATCCCGGGTCTGGCTAGATGCCTCCTTTCCCTGGCACTCTTCCAGCCTTTCTCCTTAGTCTCCAGCCTCCAGGCCTTTGTCAGATGCCAGGAAGATGAGGAAGAAGGGGGAGGGAGAGGGAGTCCCCAATAAATGAGGGAGGCATGTGACTGTATAGCCGTATGGAAGGGGATGCGTGTGTGTGTGTGTGTGTGTGTGTGTGTGTGTGTGTGTGTGTGTGAAAGAGAGAGAGAGAAACATAGAGAGGCAGAGAGAGAGGGGTGCTGGTAAGGAGCGTTGTTAGGAACACAGAGGAAGGATGCTTAGGGGAGGGGGAGAAGTGGGAGGGACAAAGGAGCTCATCTATGCCCTGTATAGAGGACATTCCAGCCACTGAAGCTGTTCAGCGTTTGAATGGCTACCTGGGGAGGTAGGGAGTGCCCCACTGGAGCTATGGCAGCAGGGAATAGGCGGTCATCTGCAGCATGCTGTGGAAGGGATTTCTGCACAGCGTCGTTCTAGGTGAGCTTAGAGATCCCTTCCCACTCCAAGATTCTGGTGTCCTCTTTGCAAATGCTGGGCCCAGAGGCAAGGTCTGCAGAAATGGCTGTGAGTTATTTGCTTTCATGGAGGGTAGGTTGGGCATGAGAAGGGTCTGAAAACCATGATGCCAACTCTCAGGACCCAGGCCAGCCACTGAGGAAAGATTCTTTGGAGAGACAGGACTGGCTGGATGGTTGAGGGGACTGGCATTCGAGGACAGGGAGATGGAGCAGTGTCAGGTCAGGTGGGGGCAGGGGTGGGGAGAGAAAAGCCAGGTCATGCTCTGAGGGGCAACATTGGGGGAGTTAAGCTGGGAATGGGGATGTTCAGAATGTAAAGGTGCAATTGCGAGACTACCCCTGCTCATCCGACTGGCTCTGACTGGGGGCACTGCTGTGTTCTGGAACCCAGAGGGCCAGACCCCTGGGGCATATGAGGGAGTGGGGACAACACAATACCCCCCTCCTGACTGGGTCCCAAAGCCAATATGACACCCATGCAGGCAGCAGTGCTGAATCCACACCATGCCATATCCCCCAGTTGGCCACAGCAACCCCAACAGTTGCTGCCCAGCACCCTGAGTTCTTGAGCAGAGCCTGGAGGACTTCACTCTGGTCCTACCGTCGCGCCCCCTAGAGGGCTAGTGTAGTAACGGCTCGACCTGCTCATACTACTCCCCCTGTATTGTTCATCCATCCGCCCTGCATATATTTATTGAGTGCTATGTTCCCAGCCTCTTCCAGGCACTGGCAATGCAGTAGTGAACAGGATGACAAGATCCCTGCCATCAGGGACACTTCGTCACTGCCACCTGTGCAATGATTCACACCCCCTGAAAAATGGTCACTGCCTTGGTCAGCAGGACAGGTCACTTGGAGGGGAAGGATGTGGTAGAGAGGGTGGAAGGGGAGCCGAGGCTGCCTTGATGGAGGAGTTAGCCTCACCCCCAGTGCTGGCCATACTTACACAGTGGGCGGGGGAGGGGAGAGGGGAGAAGGCCTGGGCAGTTTAGGCCTTAGCTCTCTCCTGACCCCAGAGCTCAAGCTCGGAAGCCAGCGCTGCCATCTCCAGCCTCTTGGAGGCTCAGCACGGTGAGGCCGGACTCACAGGGAGGGGGCAAAAGGGAGACCTGCAGGCGCTGGCTGCTGGCAGGGCAGACTGGTCAGTGGGAGGTGCTGGTGGGGAGGTTGCCAGATGTGGGACTTGAGTAGCATTTGTACACATGGCCCTGTATTGTCCATGAAGATCAATAAAATTTGTGGTTTTAAATTGGATTTGATATGATCGTATGGGCACTGTGGTTGCTGGCAGGGCTGGCGGGACTGGATGCACTGATGCAGTCACACTAGCTGTTCAAATATTTAAAATAATTATTGAAAACACTTCTGTCATAGTTGGTAAATAACCATGGCCCAGATTCCCTGAGTAACCCCTGGCTGCTGTTCTTGCTCCTCCCCGGGGGGCCTGGCTCACTCACAATCCAGGACCTAACGGGACGTCGCCTGGCGCCTGCTCCAGCCCTCAGCCAGCATCTGCTGCGATTTGTGACCGCCGTGCTGTGTGGTGGTAAATACGTGAATATCACCCTGGGCTCGTAGCAGGTCCACAGTCCTGGGGTGTGTGGACCCATGGGGACCAGGGATGGAAAACCTCATCAGGAGCTTCCCTGTCCCTCCTTCTCCTCCTCTCCCTCCTGTCCCCATGTCAGAGGGCGGGGGGTGGAGGGTGGGGGGGAGATAGTGAAGAGGAGAGTCCATCTGCTTCTGCATCCCAGCCAGGGCCCCCTGGCCTCCTAGCCCCGGACACATCTCCAGACCTTGGGCTGCCCAGCCCTGGGGACAGCTGGGACAGCACCGAGTCCTGCAGGGAGCCGGCCCTGAGAAGGTGAATGGGCATGGCCTCAAAGCACCCTAAAGATTTGCAGCCAGATGCATGGAGCTGTGGCTCGCCCTCAGCATGTTCTAGAGCATGTCTGTGTTCCATGGTGCAGACACCACACCCGTCTTGCTCACCGTTGTATCTTTGGTGGCTAGCAGGGGCCAGGCACATAGTAGGTGCTCGATGAATACTGACTGAATGAATGAATGCACCGCTTTTATGCTTATTTGCTTACTCTCCCGATGTGCCCAGACTGTGCTTTGCATGTTGGGGGGCTAGGAAACAGATGAGCCAATTCCACTGTGAGGAGTTCCCATGCTGGGCGAGGTTCCTGGGAGTCTAGAGGAAGGAGAGAGCACGTCCAGCTGTTGGGACCAGGGGCGCTCCATCTGCCCAGGGCCTGGAAGGATGGATGAAATTTCAGCAGGCAGAAAGGAATGGGGAGGGCTTTCCAGGGAGAGGGAATAGGCCTGGGGCCTAGGAACGCAGGAGACATTACAGACAGGCAGAGGGACTTAAGCTGAGAGTCAGGACCTGAGCAGAGAGAGCTTTGAATGCCAAGCTAAGGGACCTGAAGTGAATTTGACAGGCAATAGGGAGCCACAGAAGGTTTTGAGCAAGGCAGCAGCATGATCAGAGCTAGACATCAGAAAGTGGAGCCTTGGAGGATAGAGTGGAAGTGGGAGAGACTGGAGGTTGAGGACCCGTAGGAGGCGTATGCTGTATCTGGGGGAGATGTAACAAGGGTCTGGGTGGGGACAGTGGCTGGGGGCTGGTAGGGAGGGGAAGGGTGTTGGAGGCACTTCACAGACATGGGCACCACCTGAGGAGTGCTGGGAAGAGGGCCCAAGACGGCCATGAAAGTGAAGACCCGGTGATTAGCATGACCTCAAAGGAGGCCTACTGTCGGAAGCATTGGAGTGGGGAGAAAATCGTGATGCTGCGGTTCAGAGCTCCCCGAAACATTAGCCTCTGTCTCTGGCCTATCAGTTGGTAGTCAATGTTGTCATTCTTAACTAACCAGTTTGTGGCCTTGTGTGGAGGAAGGGGTGCAGGGGACACCTGCCAGTCATATTTTGCCACACAACTGACTCCCAAAGCTGGGATAGAACCATCTGCCTGTGGCAAGAGAGATCATGGGGCCTCTGGTCTGTGTGTAGGAGTGAGACACTTGGCTCTCCACTGGCTCAACATTCCCATCCAGAAAGTGGGTACTCTGTGTTGGTCCATGCCCCAGGGTCAGTTTGGCAAAGTAGGAGCTGCCTCGCCGGAGGCTTTAGGACCCCAAAGGAGCTTTGGGAAGGGGACAGACTGGAGGAGACTTGAACCCATGTTCTCCTCCACTAATAATGCATCAGCTGTTAGGTCCCAGGGGCCATCCATTAGCCAGTCTCCTTCCCTAGGAACGCATGCCACTGTCCATGCATTTGGTCCCCAAAATGCCCTGGCTCCTCTCTGCATTCTGACTGGCCTCATTGCTGGTGAGATTCTGTCTAATCCCCTCATGCCCCACCTCTGGGCATGCTCTTATGGATGTTTGGGAGGCAGCCCCTCCTGCCAGGGAGAAAGGAGGGATGCACAGGGAGCAAGGATGAGGATGAGGACGCATTGTTCCTGCCTTATGTGAGACGCTTTAGAGGGAAGGCAGAACCTTGTGCCTGCTCCCAGCCGGGGTGGGCCTGCTGGTGGGGGCGGGGGCATCCCAGCTGCTCCTGATGCTGGCTCTGCTTCTGCCCTGGTTCCTCTCTGTGTACGGTACCAGACAAGCTGCTCCATTCATTCCTCAACCATTCACTGACGCTGACTCCATGCCAGGCGTGAAGCCAGGAATCAGGAAAGCAAAGATGAATAAGACCCACCACCTGACCTCAGGGAGCCATTGGGAAGGGGACAAATTTCAGGCCATTGTGGTTCGGCAGCATGAGAGCGCTGATGGGAGGACAGGGTGCTGGGGAAAGCTGGAGGAGAGCATTCACTCAACAATGGGTGGACTGGAAGACTTCCCAGAGGAGGCAACATCTGGGTCGTGCAGGATGAACAGCAGCTGGCCAGGCAGAAAAGCAGGGGGAGGGGAGGGGAGGTAGGAGGGATTGTGCAGAGGCAGCGATGTCAGGTGATTTCTGGGCATTGCAAATCCGAGTTTAGGAGTGATGGGGTGTGAGTACATATTCTGCAGCCATGGTTGGAGAACTTGCCCTCAGGCCATGCTCCCCAAGGTCCCTGCCTCCTTCCTCTGACCACTTCTTACAAAACCCTCACTCACCCCAGCTCACAGCATCGCACTCGGGTGAGTCACACACATGTCGATGCCTAGTTTTTCTAAAGGATCCACAGGGCCCTCCAGGTTGGAGACCAGAGACGAAGGGTTACATTCATTTCCCAGAAAATCAGCTCAAAGCTGCTGGAAAGCTCAACTGGGAACACCAGAGATCCCCGGACCTCTCTGTGGACCCAAAGAGGGGCCTCTGGGAGATCCCTGTCACCCTCGCCTTCCCGCACAGCCTCAACAAACCGGGCCGGGAGGGAACCATTCCTACCAAAATGGCTCCCAGGAGCTAGAGTAGAGTTGGAAAGGCTGGAATCCTGAAATGTAGGGAGAAACCTTTCATTATGTACAATGCCCCGCCCTGTCTGACAGGGTGGTTCCCTTCATGGCCCTCTGCACCCCGGTGGGGAGCCCCACCCTTTTAACCTGGTGGCCCCAACCCACCTCCTCTTTTAGCCTAGGCCCCTCCCAATCCCTCTGCACATTGCATTTTTCCTTAGGGCCCTTCCTCAACTGGGCCAGCCCCCTGGGGAACCTCTGTCCCCATCTCCCACCCTCAACAGTGCTCGTCACTCCGACTCACTCCTCCTGTGGGCTTTGTCTCCCGGCTGCATTGCACATCCTTGGAGGGCAGGAATGGAGATGATGGGACCCGTTGGTTCCCCTAAGTCCCAGCATGCTGTGGGACACTGACATTCTGTCGACAGTCATTCTACATGGTAATAATGACCAGCATACACGGAGCCTTCCCTACGTGCCAGGCCCTTGTCATACACACACTTCACCTGCATTAACTCATTCATTCCTCATAGCAACCCTGCAAAGTAGGCTTTATTGTAACCCCTATGTTCGAGGAAAAGAAATGAAAGCTCAGAGAAGTTGTGTAATTTGCCTAAAGCCTCACAGCTCATAAGTGGCACAGCCAGGATTCAAACCCAGGCTGCCTGCTCCTGGGTCTGTCCTTCTAACCCAGACACTAGACTGTCTCTCTCTTGTGGACTCTTGTAGATACCCAATAAAGTCCCTGCTGAGAATCAACAAGGAGTCAAGTTTTCACTCATTCATTCATTGATTCATTCACTCAACACATTTACTGAGCACCTACTATGCCATAGGCAGTGTGGATACAGAGGCAGGAACTGGGCCCAGCCCCTGGCTTCACAGAGCCAACAATCAACAGGTGAGAACAGGGTCCTTCCGAGACCGAGGACTGTGGGCAGGTCGCACTGGGTGGAGCAGCTCCTACTAGACGCAGAGTGTCCGTGGGCTCAAGTCTGATGCCCAGCGAGGAAAAGGCCTGAGCTCTTTTTGTACTGCTGCCGTCCGGGCAGTGCCAGGGTGCCTGCAGGAGGGTGCTGGACACTGGCGGAGGGCAAGCATAGCCCAGCACACCTCCACGGCCACCCCGTGCAGAGGCCAGGGCAGGGGAGGCACCAAAGACCCTAAAATGAAAGTGGGCTCTAAGGAGAAAAACATCTGGCAAAGCTCCTCTATGACGTATGGGAAAACAGAAGCCTCCAGAGGGGCCCTGCAGGCTGGCTGGTGATGTGGGGTCACATGTGAAGGTAGCCTCTCCTCATGAAAGGCTGCACTGGCACAAAGCTCTGCAGGTGGGGGCAGGGCACCGACCTGGAACCCAGAGCAGAGTGGAGCCAGGCTGGCACGGTGGGGCCTTCCTGAGGGAGGTGTTCCAATGGGGGGCTCCTCCCCAGCCTCCCTGTCCCCAAATGCCTCCCTTCTGGCTGGTTGTTTGTGATGCCTAAAAACACCACTATCAGTATCTCCTTAAAAATAGCATTTTGGTCCCCCAAATTCTGGAGGATACTTGCCACTAAACACCTAGAATTCCTGCATGACGGCTAGCTGAGAGGTGGGCCATGAGCTGTCTGAACCGGTGGTTTTAGACAGAGGGGACAGGGAGCGGTGTCCAAGGCATGGAGCAGTCTGTGGGGAAGGGGGCCCTGCAGGGAGGGGTGGGACAGAGGGGCAGGTGCCCAGACCTGAGCAGGGCACTCACCAGTCCCCAGTCAGTAAGTGGCATCCTGGAAAGGTCACCACACTGTGAATCCAGAGTGCCCCTTGGTTCTGGTCTCAGTGTGGCCCTGGGCAGGTCACTACCTTCCTTGAACAGTGGA